GTGTGACAAAACCTTTGGTCTGTACTGTATTTCAACAATACAGTACACAAAAGCAAAACTATTCACTTCTAAATAAAATTTCATGGATTTGTAAATCTGCTCCACACAGACAGAGGGCGCTAAACTGTTTAGTATCATGTGAAAACGATCCTCCTTCAGACTTCCTGCTTTCCATGACTCCTTCTAATTACAGAAGTTTCTCCAGGCTGATCAGTTGATTGCATTCAGGACCTGTGGCCCAGTATAAAGAAGAGAGAATAGGTAAAAGGAGCAAGTGCTCTTTCATGTTTGACTCATTATGTGGCTTTAAAATGGTGATGAGGAGTCACTGAACCATGACTACATGTTATATTTTGTTTCTGTTTGTGGGTCTGCTTGTAGATGGCGAGTGGACAGCTGTCAAGGGACAAAGCATTGGAATGCTCTAGCTCCAGGCATGCATGCCATGTGATGCTCTACTCTGACACAGCGTCTCAGCTGTTTGGCAGGACTCCCATCAAGCACATTGTACTGGTGAGCACAGTTTAGGTGGTGACTTTCCACATCCATAGGGCTTTGTTTAACAGCCTTGTGTGTGAGATTTTTATGAACAATAACATCACCTTGTTTTAAGTGAAAACTCCCCACATCTGTGTGTCTCTCTGAGTGGACACATCATCGTGTGAGTGTTTTAACGGTCCCTTTCATCTCAAACAGATGCAGATGCGCTTTGACGGTCTGCTGGGCTTCCCTGGTGGGTAAGTTCTACCTATTGCTATACATAATTTAGCAGATTCTCTTACCTTGTATTCATAAATGTTGGAGTGCATATGTGTATTCAGCTCCCTTTCTTTTAATCTCATTAAATAAAATTTTGTGCAGTCTGTCTCATATTTAGTAAATTGTGTGTCCACCTTTGTGTTATTTAATCTGAGTATAAATCCAGCTGTTTTGTGAGAACCTCTGAGCTCAACATGTGAAAGAGTCAATCTATCATCTTAAAATGGAAAGCGTATGCCACAACTCTGGAGCAGCTGCAGAGATTCACAGCTAAGCTGTGAGAATTTGTTCTCTGGACAATTATTAGTCATACACACCACACATTTGTTCTTTCTGGAAGAGTGGTAAGAAGAAAGCCACTGTTGAAAGAAAACCTTAGGATGTTCTGTGTGCAACTTGCCACAAGTTATGAAATATACACAGCAAATACATAGAAGAAAGTGCTCTGGTCAGATGAGGCCAAAACTGAACTTTTTGCCTTACATGCAAAACGCTGTTTGTGGCATCCCTGTGGTTAAACATGGCGGTGGCAGCATCATGCTATGTTTTAGTTGAGAAAAGGATGTATTGAGCTAAATGCATAGGAAACCTGGAAGAAAACCTGTTAGAAGCTGCAAAAGACTTGAGAAAGGAGCCGAAGTTCAACTTCTAGAAGGAAAACCACCCTAAACACACATCCAGGTTTACAATAAAATTTTTACATTAAACCAGACTAATACATTACGATGGCCCAGTCAAAGTCCTGACCTAAATGTAATTGAGTATCTGGGACAAGACTTGCTGTTAAGCTATTTTGCAAAGAGGAATTAACAAAGTTTCAGTGTAGATGTGCAGAGCTGACAAAGATTTCTCAATACAGATCTGTAGCTGTAATTGAAGTGAAAAGTGTTTCTACAATGAATGAACCTGGGGTAGCAGGGGAATTTGAAAATAAAGGTATTGCAACCTTTTAGATTTCAATATGAAATGTGCAGAAGTATACGGGTATGAATACTTTTGCAAGGCCCTGTAGCTTTTCTTAATCCATTTTTTTTTCTTTACAAGTTGCCCCCGCATAATAATGATATTAATCTTTCAGAGCACAGCACAAACATTCACACATTGTCTCTAGAATACTGATGTAGCAAAGATGAACTTTAAAAGATAAGGAAACATGTAAGAGACGTCCCTTTGTGCAAGAAGTTGCTATAGCCTTTTTTAACCAACTGTTAATCAAACAGATTAGTATTCTGCTGAATCTGAATCACTTGTGTCTTTTTATCTGTGAATAACAGGAGTCTGTGCCAGAATTGCTGGTGCGTCACTCACCAATACGTTGACATTATGTAACAAACCAAGAAATCAGAAAATAATAACGACACGTGCAAAACAAAGAAAAAAACATCAACAAAAAGTTGTTCAAAACTAGCTATGCATCTCATTTTCTTGCCACATAATAAATATAAAAACATGAAATAAAGAACACTAAAATATTGTCGGAATTATTATCGAGTTAATTTATAGCTCACAATTATCCACTTTCCTTTTAGCCTAACTTAACTTTGCATCTTTAGTTAAGGTAAACATTGCAATTTCTTCCCTTGTTTATAACCACACCCATTCAAAAGCAAGGAAAATCTACTCTGACATATATTCTTCTCTAACATACGCTTTACTCACTTATCTTCTAATCTGTAATTATTTTATTGTTCTTGCTTTGACCGAGCAGCTCAGACTTGCAAAAAAGCAAATTTTGAAAAATAACTTCTTGCTCAGGTGCAAGAAGCATAAGAGCATCCATCTTCTTTAGTGGATTATACAAAGACCCACAGCAGATTGAACATTTTGGGAGTACTGCTTATAATAGTAGATATTGAGCAGTTTTTGACATCAACACGTACTCTAAATCCTAATCAAATTTGAACTAATGCTTCAGCAACAACTGATTTGGGCACGTTGCGACGTGAGACCTCTGATGAAGAAGGAGATTTTCCACTGGAATATGGCAGGTACGTTGTTAGGGACAAAAAATTGTGTGTCTAATAAGAAAAGAACCTAAACACTATATTGTAGACAGACACAATGAACTTTATTGGAATATAAGGCTTTACCTGTTTGGAAGCTATCAATCGGTTTGCAGGGATTTTAATTTCTCCACTGTGAAGAACGATGTTTTCTGTTACAGCTTCCAAGAAGCTTTGATACCGCAGAGAAAACTGAAAATCTCAAAACTCCTGCAGAAGTTGTAATAAATGAAAACACTTGTTTAGACTTTCTGCATTATTTGTTTAATTACATAGATTTGAGGGTATTTATTTCCCTATGAAAATGGTTTTAGTTGATGTTGGTGCTCCGAGGGAAACCGGAAATTAATTATCGTTACATTTCAAACTGTTCAACACAAATAATAATGACATGTTCTAATAATGATTTTAAAGACATTTGTATTCTTGTATACTTCCTTTTCTTTTAACTGTACACCCAAAAGATTTTCAAGTTTCCTCTTTGGCACCTCAGGCATGTGGGGTACTTTAGGGCACTATACTTGGACCAGATGTCTTTTTACATGCCCCCTTTAAGGAGATTTTTTAATGTGTTTAATTATTATGCTGATAATGCACAGCTGTAGTTATCAGTGAACATTCTGGGGGCCGCATGGGGAAAGCAGCTGTCAGCACTCAACAACAAGGTCCTGGGTTGAAATCTCCACAGTAGACGGCAAAAGTCTTCAGATTAAGACATTCAATTTCAAATTAAAATACAAAGAGGCTGCTTTTGCTGGTTGAATCCCCAGAGAGTGAAACTCTTTTTCTCTGGCAGCAAAGTTGCAACAAATTATGGCTGATGATGTACCCAGTTCAAACTTAACCTCCTTTAGAAATTTGTGCAGTATTTGCTTTTTTTGCAAAAAAATGTTGTTTTATTCCATTTTTTTCTACTTTGTAACCTATGGAACAATTGTATTTGAATGAACATGTGAGTAGGAGTAACTTCTTTTTAGGCTTTACAGTTTAAGAATCATTCAGTCGCAGTCTTGTGTACTGTGGCATCTCTTGAAAATCTTGGATTATTGTTATCTTTTTGAAAAAGTACTGTTTTTTGACATGTTAGTCTTGTTGACCCCTCGGAGGAGACCCTGGAAGAGGGGCTTACGAGGGAACTGTTGGAGGAGCTGGGCGTGGCCGTGCCAGTTTCCGTAGAAGATTACGTGGAGTCTCGCTTTGCCCCTTCTCATCCACCCACCTCCTCTTCCTCCTCCTCCCCCCTCATCCTTCACTTCTACGTGAAGAAGATCGAGGAGGAGCAGATTCGAGAGATAGAGAAAGCAGCCGCATCAACTGCTGCAGATCACGGTCTTGAGGTAATGAGTGATGAATTGGGAGTAATTTGCAGGATCTCACGCTCAGCTCTGCATCACCTCTTCTCTCTCCCTCCAGGTGCTGGGAATGGTCCGAGTCCCTCTATACAGCACTAAATCCCACGCAGGCTTCTCCTGTTTTCTGTCGCACTCTTTCATAGGCAACGCTCGCTCCCAGCTGGTCGACTCTCTGCTGCGTCTCCACCTGGTGTCCCCTGGGGAGCTGCGGAGAGCTCTCAGGAGCTCTCAGAGGATGAACGCTCAGGCTGCGCAGGAACTGCGGGTGGCCCTGGAACTGACAGAGGAGCCGAGGAAGCAACTGTAAAACACATCTGCGCCTGCACGTCCTAACATGAACTCTCCTCAGAACAGTTTGACCCTGAAACTTGCAATTGTTTCCACACACTTAGACAACTCATAATTGGTTTTCTGTGCATTTGTTTTTAATCAACAGCTCATCAGTGCCTTTACCAGTAATGGAAATAAATTCACTATCTGGTTATCAAGCTGCCTTTACATCCAGTTCCTAATAATAGTCCTGCTACCCTGTGAACTTTTCCAGATTGTGTCATGTTGCAACCACAAACCTTACTGTCTCTATTGGGATTTTTTGTGATAGACCAAGACAAATTAGCACATAACTGTGAAGTTGAAGTAAAGGTAGTCACTGTTTTCCTAAATAAAAATCTGAAATATTGCCCCCTTGTGAAGACCTAAGGTTAGAGATGTAGGTAGTGGGCGAGAGGCAGGGTATATCCTGGACAGGTTGCCTGTCCATCACAGGGCAACACAGATGTGATGCATGCCATTAGAGACTCACAAGGACAATTCAGACAGAGAAATTAACACAAGCCGAAGTAGCCAGGGAGAACCTATGCGGGCACAGGGAGAACATGGAAGCTGTGTGCATAAAGATCCCAGTCGGGGATTTGAACCTAGGACCTTCTTGATGCAAGGAACAGTGCTACCAACTGCACCACCATGCAAACCTTAAATGCATCCTTTAGCTACTCCATCAACCTCTGTTTAAACTCACTAAAGAACAAGCACATTTTAACCAAGCATGCCTCAGACACAATCCTTCACTGTATGTGGTAAAAATAGTAATTTTTATATATATCATTTGAAAATACCTGAATTTTCTTATGTTTACATTGTCTGATTACAGACTTTCTAAAAAATATATGTACTTATACGTAACCAAACAGTTACTCGGTACTGGATTCTTTTTCCTGCATACTTTATTACACTCAATAGAATAATTCTTTGAAAGATTGCTTTTTATTTCTACTCGAGTGTTATTAGCTTTAAAACCCTCACAGTTTAATCCCTCACTTGGAAATGGAAAGAGAATGGCACAACTTCAACACTACTAAGACATGACCCTCCATCTAAACTGATGAGAGAGCATTAATCAGTGAATAGGTCAAGAGGCCCATGGTAACTCTGGAGGAGCTGCAGAAATCCACAGCTCATGTGGGGGATTTAGTGGATAAGACAACTGTTAGTTATGCGCTCTCCAAATATGGTTGCTTATGGAGGAGTGGCAACAACAAATCCATTGGTAAATGAAACCAAAAATAAGTCTTTTTTTGCAATTTTCCATAATAAATGTAGAGGACACAGTAAAAATGTGGAAGAAGATACTCTGGCCAGATCAGACCCAAACTGAACATTTTGGCCTAAAATAAGAAAGGCCCGTTCATTGTCCATACCAAAACCCAAACGAGAATCAGTGCCAAGACGATACAATTGATGTCTACAGATGCTTTCCATCCAATCTGGCTGTGGAAAGAAATACTGGCCAGAAATATCACTCCCTGTTTGTTAAAAGCTGGTAGAGATTCAAGGCTATCGTATGCCTTCATTTTGCTGTGTTTCCTAAAATTCTAATAAAATACATTAAAGTTTGTAGTTTAAATGTGATAAAATGTGAAAAGGTCCAAGGCCAGGAATATTTTTGCCTGGCCACAGATTATAAATTGGATGATGATTCTGCAGCTGCAAGTTCAAACTCTAACATAAACACAAACACCCAAATATGACTAACGGAAAGACGAACAAAGAAGATGCAAGGCCTGCTACCCTATATGATTCTACACAGGCAGCTTTGTGGTTTTCTATATCTGCCAGGACCAAAGGGGCACGATTCAGCAGAAATGTTTGTCTTCTACACTCATGTAGAAGTCTGACTATGTGCTACTATCGTGTTTCACAAATGAACTTATTGCACCGCAGCACAGCTTGAATCCTAGGATTAATTATGTCTGTGACATACTATACAGCCAGCAGGCGAAGATTTGATTCTGTTTAAGTGCACCCTGGGTGCAAGTAACCTGCTCATACCAGATGTTGGTTAACCTCATTCCCTGACAATCTCGCTGGCAGAAAGCAGAAGCAGAAGACAGGATGCTGCCAAACCTTTAAGATAATTATTGGACTGAAAGGGCACCTTCTGTCCACTCACTGTTGATGTTTTTTGCAGATGGATCTTCCTCCACATTCTTGTATTACTAGGCAAACCAGCAGCAACACGGGCAGGCAGGCAGAACACATAAAAGCAGTTTCTGCAGGGCAGATTGGGTAAAATGTTTACAACATAATAGATCCCATTAAGACTTATTGCCTTGCACAAGGTCAGGTGGACCTATTAATCATATGCACAGATTGGACTATCATTTAAGCAAGAAATTGTGATATTTGTGAGGTGACGAGTGCGATCTGCTATCGATGCACATCTCTCAGTCCGAGTGTGTTTTTCACAGCCGGCAGTAGATGGGAAAAAAAGGAACACATCCGCTGTAACAGACAGGAAGCCTGGGAGACGGAAAGCTCGAAACGCCACGTCTGTGGTTGTTTTCATGTAAAACGTTGGTCTTTTTTTCTCCTTCCACTGAGCTTGCTGTAACCTGCATCTTGCACGCCAATGTGTGATGAGAAAGCATGCTGTCATGTGATGGTGTCGCACGATAACACAAGGTCATCAGAAGCAGGTTCAGAGCAGAAAAGAAGCAGGGATGGAGGGGAGGGCAGCGCAGGCGCGCGATGGATGGATGGATGGATGGAAGGAGCAGAGGGAGAGTGGGAGATGCTAAGGGGAAAAGATGGTGTATTCATAGCAGCAGCGGTATTTATAGCCGCCCAGAGGAGAGGAGAGGAGAGAGTGGGGTGGGGGCGTGGCTTGGGCTGGGCTTTCTCACTGCTGCGTACGACAGGGGGAGGGGGTGGGAGGAGAGACGCTGCTCTGGCGTGAGTGGAGAGGCTATCTGGCATATTTTGAAAGACGGAGGGGGAGGGCTGTTTGTGTGTGAGAGCGTGTGTGTGTGTATGTGTGTGTGTCTTAGAAATGAGAGAGAAGAGTACTGAGCTGGGAGAAATCTGTCAGAATCAAACACGCTCCACTCTGAGCACGCCAGCCAGTGTGTGTGTGTGTGTGTGTGTGTGTGTGAGTCTGCGTGATACACAAGAAACGAGAGATGAGAAGAGAAGAGCAGAGAAACAGATAGAAAGAGGCAGAGGAGGACCACAAAGTAAGGTACGTATAGCTGTCATGCTGCTCTTGAATATAGCAACCTGTGAGTCTGTGTGTGTGTGTGTGTGTGTGTGTGTGTTCCAGAGAGTGAGATAGAGATATTTATTTATAGTAAAGTCTTAATAAATAAACCCAATATTTACTTTTTTTTTTTTTAACAATTGCAACCACTAACTGGTAGAAGATCAGTTATGTAACATGTGTGCACCATTTTCAGACTGTGTGTTTATGTGGTTGTGTAATTATCCTGAGGTGTTTCTGTGGTCATTGTGTGGAGCCCTTCCACAGCACCTTAACCATATGGTCTTATTTACGACAAACTGGAAATATAACTCATCACTGCTGCTGTTATTTCTGCTGAGCCTTAATTCCCTATTAAATCCCTCACTAGCAACACTTAGTGCAATCAAAAGATGCAGATAAGCAATGCACACATCAAAGCTGCCTTGCCTGTGCAACAGTGCAACTGTGACATAGGGAGAAAAACTGCAACATTAAAGCTTTTTTTTTTTTTACTATTCTGAGTGAATTCAATCAAAAACGAGTTCCTGATTTAGTCAGGCCATAAAAATGCTCCTTATTAGGATTTAAATCTCTGATCTGAAACACCAGCAATGTATAAAGGTTGCAGGCTATCACTGTCCTGTCCTCTGTGTCCAGCTCTCTTTTCTGTGAGCCACATTTGTGTGCTGCATGTGCCTCTTTTCTGCACTGGCATGAAGTGCATCATGTGTTACTCATTCGGAGCTGCCCCACTTCCTTCATGTGGCGGTTAGCCTGCAAGCTCTTATAGTGGCTTCTGTGACATAACGGAAACTCAAAATGTTTCACTTTATTTGTTCCCAAATTTGGATCGGTAGTTGCAACATACTTTTTTGAACCTAGGACCTTTACCATTCAGTGAACAGTCATCTGTAGGTTAATGTTTCGCATTTTGTCAACTTACAACAAACTTAAATGTGTTTTATTGGAATTTTATGTGATGGACCAAGACGAAGTAGAGCATAATGGTGGGGTGGAAGAAAAATTTTACAGGGTAAATTTAAACAATAATGGAAAGTGTAGTGTGCACTTTTGATTCACCACCTCACTGGTCAATACTTTGCAGAACCACCTTTCGCTGTGGTTACACTTGCAAATGTTTTGGTAAATCTCTCTACCAGCTTTGCACATCTAATGATTGACATCTTTGCTCATTCTACTTTGCGAAAAGTTGAAGCTCAGTCAGATTGGATTGAAAGCATCTGAGAACATCAGTTGTTGAGTCTCACCACTTAAGTGGCCCATTCCAACACATCTTTATGGTTTAATCTTAACTATTCGATTGTATTTTTGGCTGTATGTTTTGGGTTGATATACTGTTGGAAGGGGAACCTACACCCCAATTTCCAACAGGTTTTCTTTCTAGATTAGCTTATTTTTGGCTCCATCCATTTTCCCACAAACTCTGACCAGCTTCCCGGCTCCTGATAAATAATATAAAAAAAACATCCCCACAGCATAACGCTGCCTCTACTGTGTTTTACCATGTGGATGATGTATTCAGTGATGTGCTACCTGAGCTGTTGATATCTGTAACTCCTCCAGAGTAACCATGGGGCCCTGAATAATGCCCTCCTAGGATGCTTATAAGTATAGGTGGACAGTCATGTCATGCTAGGTTTCCAGTGGTGTCATAATGTTTCCATTTTCAGGTGATTGATTGAATAGTGTTCTTTGAAATGTTTAAAACTTGGGATGTTGTTTTCTAACCTAACCCTATTTTGAACTTCTCTATAACCTTCTCTCTGACCTGTCCTCCTCTGTCTTCCTGATGCTGTTTGTTCACTAATGTTATCTAACAAATCTCTAAGGCCTTTACAGAGCAGGTGGCTTTATATAGAGGTTAAATGACACACAGGTGGACTCTGTTCAGATGATAGGTGACTTCTGAAGGTAGTTTATTACACCGGGTTTCATTTAGGGGTGTCAGACTAAAGGGGACTGAAGGCAAGTGAAATCTAACTCTAAAGCTGCACAAAAACAGCATATTTGTAGTATTGATAACTCAGTACTACAGTGTGTGCATCACAGGTCTGAGACATACTGACTCATCCTTCTGCACTGTATAAATAAGGTCAAAAACTGACGGTGGACCTAGATATTATCAAGCTCTATATTTCAGTTTTCTTTTGGAGCGTTTCGGTGTTGAAGAAGAATCTGAGCTTTGAGCAGTGTCTTAAGGACGGATGGGTCCAGTGAGCCAGCCGACCCTGTCACACTGACCCACTGTTTCATTTCAGGGTTTTTTTTTCCCATGTTTGCCTTCTACTGATACCATCAGGCATGCATTTCAAAAACATAACCCGTAAACGATCCTCTTCAATAAAAGTCAAGAATGTCATGACAACACTGGGAATCTTTCTGAGTCATTTGGCATCAACTTGGGCTTCTGTAGATGGGTAGCAAGTCTGA